ACGTGGCCCTCGGCTCAGCTCTGGCCCTGGCACGGTCAGGGCTGAGGGACAGTGTGGGCACAGAAGACAGCTGGGCGTCCAGGGGCCGAGGGTCCCTCCTGGAGACTCCTGCCCCTCACTCACCATCGCTCTGATGCCCACCTTGGTCTCCGGGGGGTGATGGGTGCCAGGAGACCTGGCAGAGGTGGGGGGCACACGAATATAGAACACTGGGTGGGGGGAGGGGACAAAATAGACCCTGGCAACGTGGCCTGTGAGTTAGAGGCCAGGGTGGCGAGAGCAGACTGGCGGGAGGAGGGGTCCAATGGGGGCGGGTCTCGGAGGACTTGGCTTCTCCCCTGTGGGGTGGGAGCGCAGGGGGGCCGTGATCTGACAGAGGTTCAGGGGGTCCTTCTGCTGCGTAGTGCGGGGCTGGGCGGGGGCGCTGCTGCGAAAACCCCGCCTGGAATGAGGGCTCCAAGCTTTGGGTCAGAGGGCCAGGTTCAAGGTGGAGGCTTCAGTTTGGACCTGTTGCCCGTGGCCTGGGTCCAGCGTCGTGGTCCCTGCGCCCAGACCTCTGTGCGCTGCCGTGGCCACGTCCTCCATGGGCGTGCTGAGGGCCCCCGGAGGTGACGCCTTAGCCAGCTGATGCCACGTGGGGAAAAGCGGGCACCAGGGGACTGGCTTCAGGTGACTGCTTCAGGGATGCCTCGGCAGGAACCCCAAGCCAGGGAATTTATGTGTCCGTGTGTCTGTCTGTCCGTCCATTTATATGTCTGTGCGTCCATTATAGCCACGTGTCCGTATGTCCATGTGCCCATCTCTCCATCCATCCAGCCATCTGCAGTTCTGCAGACCCATAGGTCCTCCAGAAAGTTTTGTTTAATGGTGAATAAATGAATAAACCCACCTGCCTGTCCAGCCACTGCCCCACCCGTCCGCGATCTGACCGTGGTCCTGAACTGGGCTCTCGGGAAAGAGCTACTTATTGAATGACTGAGTGAGTGAGAGTGATGCGTTGGCTGTCCAGCCCCGAAGCTGCCCGCTGCTGACCCCTGTCCAAGCCCCAGGTCACACTCCCAAGCAGCAGAGGAGACGCGGCCTCAGTGCCGCTCCTGTAGCTTCTGAGGACGCAGCGGGCCTTGTGCTGGGCGGCCATCAGGCTTGAGCCCTGCCCAGGGCAGCTGGACCCAGGCTGGGCTCCGAGGGGTGTGGGGCAGCCCCCTGGAGGCTCCTCCGCCCTGGGCCGAGGGATGGGTGATGGGAAGGCCCATCGTCACCCACCAGAGCCCCCAGATCTGGAGTCAGCCCCACCGGAGTCCGGGCCAACTGTCGCAGTGGGAGGGGAGGGGGGAGGGTGCTGCCCCTGCGTGGGGGCCAGGCATCTGCCGCCCACCAGGCTCAGGCCCTGGGGGCCCAGGGAGACGTGGATGCAGGGGAGCCCTGGGAGCAACCTTGGCAGTTTTGAATGCTTTCCCTGAAAATCAGTTTCCCTAAAAATCACCCTCAGGTACCTGCCCTGAAGCCCCACACCCAGAGCAGAGCCCCTGAAGCGGCAGCCATCTGGGGGCTGATGAGTGGGTAGGGGCACTGTGGCTGGAAGGGCACATAGCCCACGGCCACCCTGACCTTCCAGGGCCTCCCTGCCTGCAGCCCTCAGCCCCTGCCCCCTTCCTGCCCCAGGTCTTCGGGGAAGCACCCACAGGCATGTCAGGGACGGAAGGTTTTCTCCATTAACGAGGATCCCTCCTTTGGGACACTCCGGCCAGTGAGTCCTCCCTGACCCAAGCCCCCGTCCCTGAGGGGTCTAGCCTTGGTGGTCACACTGGGGCGGGGGTGAAAGCAGCCCCACCTCCCGCCGGTCAGGGCCCGCCTCCTCCGGGGCGGGGTTGAATGCAGCCCCACCTCCCGCCGGTCAGGGCCCGCCTCCTCCGGGGCGGGGTTGAAAGCAGCCCCACCCCACGCCGGTCAGGGCCCGCCTCCTCCAACGAGGTGGCCGCCGGCTCACCTGCTGCTCTTGGGCAGCTCGGTTGTGTTCCTCGCTGCGCGCCCTGGAGAGATTGGGCCTCCTTGGGCACCAAGATCTCTGACCTGCAGAGCCTGGAGCTGCGGGGACAGGAGCATAGACATGGGGGTGGGGGGACGACACCGGGAGTGGCCACTCGTGCTCCCGTTCGTGGACCCTGGCACAGCACCGCCCAGGTCCCATTGTGGGAGGCAGGCTGTGCTCCAGAACCTAGGGCCGTGCTGTGACTCTCCCACCGTGGGGACAGTGCGACTTTCTGAGGGTTCCCCGTCCCAGAACCTTACTATACCAACGCAGGAGTCTTGACACAGCCCTGGAACAGGCCTGGAGCGCACACACGGCCGGTCCTTCGTGACAGCTGTGCCTGGTCCTCTTTCTCCATGGGGACAGCAAAGAACACGTTCACCAAATCAGGGGCTATGCACCTCCACCAGAGGCTACTGACTGCCCTGGCTTCCCCGCCGCACTGCTCAGCAGCTCCTTGGCAGTCTGCAGCCGTCCAGTCTCTGCCAGGAGTTAGGGTTAGGGCCAGCGTGGTGACTGGATGGGACTGGGGTGGGGACCACCTGCACCTCAGGGCTGCAGGGTGGCACTGGGCTCTACCACATCACCTCCCCGGAATGTGGCACTGTTTACCGTCTTGGCTGGGGTGAAGTTTCCACCTGGCTGTCCCCGCCATGAGAGCTCTTCCCTCACAGGCTGAGAATCTAGTTCAGGGGTTGCCCCAGCTGGACGGATGTCCCCCCGGTTATACGTTCAGGGGCTGGGGTGATGGCCGTTGTGGTCCGTGGGTCTCCTGCCCTCACTAGGGCCCCACTTGCCCCTGCTCTAATGGGCCGCGACACTCTTCAGGTTTCCAGGCACCAACGTCAATGCAGACCCTGTGTCCGCCCTACAAGATACCCCGCTGGAATCCTGCGGGGCTGCACCGTCCTCCCCCCGGCACCGGCCACTTCTTCGGAGCTGCCAGGGGCTTCAGCCAGAGGTGGAGCTGGGGTGGAGCGGCCCCTGGGAGGACTGGGGGCAGAGCAGTGGCAGGACAGTGACTCAGGCATCACAGGCACCCTGGCTGTCCTGCTGGGGTGGAGGCGGGGAGGCCAGTGGGGAGGGGCACTGGGGTCATCCAGGCGACACGGGATGGTGACAAGGACCAGGGGTGGGTGGTGAGCGCCAGGCAGATTCTAGATCCCGGCCTCCCGGTCTCCTGCCCTGTGCTGTCCCCTCCCATCCAGCATGGACCCGGCGGCTGGCTCCCAAGGCTCTGGCAGTCGCTCCGTGGAGGGGCCCACGTATGTGGAGCTGAGGGCGGCCCCGCCGGCGAGGACCTGGTCTGGCCACACCGATGCCTTCATGGTCGAGCCTCCCCATGAGACCGCAGCCCTGCTCAGCACGAGGGAACGGCCACGCCTGGATTCCAGACCCACAGGAGCCGTAAGACAATAAACCTGTGTTGTTGTTGCCGTTAGGGTTTGGGGTAACTCGAGACACAACAAAAGATGATGTTGCAGGCGGAGCCAGCTGCGGGTGTGAGAGGAGACCCAGGTGCCCAGGCGAGGGGGCAGCGCCCGCCCCGCGCAGCGCAGCAGGAGGGAGGCCCACAGAGGCTGTCGGATGAGGCGGAAGCCATACAGGTCTCTGTCGGACACGGTCGGGGGGGACTGATGGTGGGGGAGGGAGGGGCCTGTGAGGGGCTCGCAGGGCGGTGGGAGGGATGCAGAGGACAAGAGGGGTCAGGGTTTGGGGGGGGGGAGATGGAGTAGAAGGGGAGGGCAGCGGGGAGGGTGTTCCTCCATACACATCCAGCTGCCCTGAGTCGGGGGTAGTGGCATGAGAGGGGCCGAGAGGGAAAGGGGGCACTCAGGGGGTCCAGGGCTCTGAGCTGGGCGAGAAGGACAGTGAAGACAGGGAGAGGGTGTCAGACAGTGACAACCTGGGGCGACTGCAGATCAAGACCCCCCTGAGACGCCACATCACGCCCACCAGGATGGCTGCCACCAAAGAAACGGAAAGTACCAAGTGTTGGCAGCCTGTAGTAAAATGGTACCCTCGTGCACACAGCTGACGGGATTGTAAAATGGTGCAGCTGCGTGGAAAACACCACGGACGTTCCTCAGGATGGGCTTGAGTCCCACACGACCCAGGATTCTGTTTTCAGAGATCTGAAAGCAGGGTCTCTGACAAACCCTTGCACACCCGTGCTCATGGCAGCATCCTTCACAACAGACAAAGACAGGAGAAGCCCATGTGTCCATCAATGGATGGAGGGATTAAAAAAAATGTGGTCTCTACACGCAGTGGAATATTACTCAGCCTTTAAAAGGAAAGGAATTCTTTTTTTTTTTAAGTAATATTTCCTAGCTTATTTATTTAGTTATTTATTTATTTGGCTGCGTTGGGTCCTCATTGCTGCGCACGGGCTTTCTCTAGTTGTGGCGAGCGGGGCCTACTCTTTGTTGCGGTACGCGGGCTTCTCATCGTGCTGGCTTCTCTTGTTGCAGAACACGAGCTCTAGGTGCGCAGGCTTCAGTAGTTGTGGCTCGCAGGCTCAGTAGTTGTGGCTCACGGGTTCTAGAGCACAGGCTCAGTAGTTGCGGCGCACGGGCTTAGTTGCTCCGCTGCATGTGGGATCTTCCCGGACCAGGGCTTGAACGCGTGTCCCCTGCATTGGCAGGCGGATTCTTAGCCACTGTGCCACCAGGGAAGCCCCAAGGTGGGTGTGCTTAATGCCCCTGAGCTGTATACTCAGTGGTTAAACGGCAAATTTTATGTTACGCATATTTTACCACGATGAAAAATAAAAACAACTGAGTTAGTTTGGCGCAGCGTTTCACCACTCAGGTAGGAACGAAATACACCCCCACGAGCTACGAAATACTGTGTGGCTTCAGCGTCTGCAGTGAGGTCACCGCCCTTATATCTGCTTTAAAACTTGCCCTGCACAATATTATAATAAAGGGTAACGTTCATGACAGTGATTTTTTTTTAGTGATTTTTAAGTTTAATCTTTCTTTATTTAGAACATTAAATAAACATATTAAAAAAAAGGACCATGACAAATCTGTGCTCTTTTCTGCATGCTACATTTAACAATTAAAATGTTAAAATATGTATTTTTTTAAAAAAAAGACATTTCCTGGGTATATCTCCCCACCACCAAGAGGCCTCCGGCCCCAGGCTTGGGAACCCAAAGGTGCCCTGGGATCACCAGGGTGGCCAGTGAGTCTTTGGTTGGCGTTCTGCATTTCTAACAGGCTCCCGAACCCCAGCAAGGGTCCACAGCAGCACCACCCGTAGGGCCCCTCCTCGCCGGTGAGAACTGAGCCACCTGCAATATGGGAGGCACAGGCGGTTTAGGCTTCAGTAGGAGAAAAGATGTAAACTGTCTCATTAATGCCTGTTTATACTAACTATATGTTGAAATGATAATATTTCGGAGATGCAGGGTTAAATAAGATCAACAATAAACTGAACTTCACCTGTTTCTTGTTACGCTCACTTACTCATTGAATTCACTTTTTATTGCGTGGAGCTGGTCTTGAGGGCTCCTCTCCTCTGAATCAAGACCAGATCGCCTTTATCTTTTTTTTTTTTTTTTGCCTCACTTCGCAGCACGCGGAATTTCCCCAACCAGAGATCGAACCCACGCCCCCTGCAGTGGAAGCGCAGACTCTTAACCACTGTACCACCAGGGAAGTCCTTCTTTTCCTTATTTTAAAAAAAAATTTATTTATTTTATTTATTTATTTTTGGCTGCATTGGGTCTTTGTTGCTGCGCGCGGGCTTTTCTCTAGTTGCAACGAGCTGGGGCTACTCTTCGTTGCGATGTGCGGGCTTCTCATCGCGGTGGCTTCTCTTGTTGCCGAGCACAGGCTGTAGGCGCACGGGCTTCAGTAGTTGTGGCTCACGGGCTCGGTAGTTGTGGCTCACGGGCTCTAGAGCACAGGCTCAGTAGCTGTGGCGCACGGGCTTAATTGCTCCGCTGCATGTGGGATCTTCCCGGACCAGGGCTCAAACCCGTGTCCCCTGCATTGGCAGGAGGATTCTTAACCACCGCACCACCAGGGAAGCCCCTCTGCATCTTAAATGTTCATGCCTGTGGCATGCTGGGCACCTGACTCTGCGAGGTTTCGCAGTTCCTTCTTTTCCTTTTTTGAACGTCTCCCAGAGGGCCTGCAGAATAACAGAGTTTAGACAGCAGGAGACTCTGGACCCTAAGTGCAAGCCCAGCCTCCCCAGAACACAGCCAGGCCTGCCCTCCCCGAGGGTCCTGGCGAGCCCCATTTAACCACGCTCCCCGCAGCCAGACACCCCCCGTCCAGTCTGACCCAGGCTGACCTTCGCCTGTTCCTTGGCACCATCACCGGTTCCTCAGTTCATCCCCACCTTGGTCTCCCCACGCCCTGCCACCCCCCTGCCCATGCTCCCCCCACCTTCCAACCTCCCCTTACCCAACCTGGCCAGGTCTGGCCCCCTTGAGCCCGTCCCAGAAGCTGGGGACCAAGAATCTGGGAGGAAGCCCTGGGCATCTGCTCAGAATCCCCCTCACCGGCCTCACAGCCCTGTAGGCCCGACAGCAGACGTGGCCTGTCCTGCCGAGCTGCGGGACCACCACCAGGGTATAGGGACACGGGGCCTGGGTGAGGTCTTCCTAACTGATGAGGAAACTTCTGAGCCCACTGGGGCTAGGCCCTGGCTCTGTGGCCCAGATGGGGCTGCCTCTGTGAGCAGGCCTGCGAGGACGGCCGAGCTGTGCACCCTCACGCAGGAGGATGCTGTGAGCCCACGCGGAGCGCGGTCAGGCCTGCCGTCCGCAGACACACACACGTAGACACACACGCACAGACACATACACGCACACACACACAGGAGCGCCAGCTTCCAGGGCCCAGCAGCCTTCCAGGGAACCCATTTGTCATGCAAATGCCCTCTCCTGGGGCCTCCCCAAGGGAGCTAGAGAGCTGTTGCCTGTCTAGGGTGGGGCCTGAGATCGAGACAGGACCCCTGCTGGGCTCTGTTGGGTCCTGCAGCCGCTCCCCTGCAGCGGGTGGGAGTTGGGGCGCGGCAGAGGGGCCTCAGCTGCAGACCCACACTGGCCTGAGATCTGACCGCCTCTGCCCAATGCCGGCTCCACCCTTGCGCAGCTTACCCTCCCTCCTGGCTTCCCGGAACATGGCTGGAGGCCTAGGAGGGCCAGGCCTCTTCTCTTTTCTCAGCTGCCTCTGGGGCTGTGAAGCAAGAGCGAGGGCGCTCTGCTCTGTGCCTACCCCCGCCCCCCTGCAGGGCCGGGATGCAGCCCACATGTCCTCCCAGCTGAGCCTGCAGGGCCGTCTCCCCACAGAGCATGTAAGCCCCGCCCCCCACTCCCGCCCGCCAGTCCGGGGTGCAGACCCCAGTGGCCGGGCGAGCCCGCCAGACCTGGGCTGGGCCCTGTGCCGGGTCTGTTGGCCTCTGAGCCCAGTTGCCATTGCCACACGGAGCCAGGATGGCCAGGCCCTGGGACAAGGGCTGAGGGACACAGGCCACGGCCACCCTCTGAGAGAGGAGCCGGAAGGCCTGGTGGGGCGGCCGCAGTGGAGCCGCCGCAGTGGAGCCGCGGGGAGCCCGGCGGGCGGGACGCTCCAGCCGCCGCGCGTGCCCAGCCACGCTGCGCCCTCCCCGCTGGCCCGGCGCCGCGGCCGCCCGGCCCAGGACACGGTGTGCGGCCGGAACAGGGCGGTGTCCGCTCAGGGCGCCGGCTGCCGCATCGGCACACAAGCGCCCATTGTGTTCCCGGGCGCCCCCGCCGCGACCCCCACTTCCCGCTGCTCCGGCCCCACCCCGAAACCCAGCTCCCCCGCCCCCCAGGGCCCCCTCGCCTCCCTCTGGCCTTTCCCCCACCCCCGCCGCCCCTCGACTCCGCCCCAGCCCCCCTTGCTCCGCCCCGTGCGTCCTGCCCCGTCTCTAGCCCTGTCCCCTGCTGGCCCCGGGCCCCAGCCGCCCCCCAACGCCTGCACTGCCCACCGACCTTTATACCCCTCGACATGCGCCCCCCGACTGCCCTTCGACCGCACCGCCCTACAGGTCTCCCCGTAGTCCTCCGGCCCGGGACTCCCCAGCCTCACAGATCAGGATTTCTGGCCCTGCTCCCCGTCGTCCCCTCCCACCACCCGGACTGGACGTTCCCCAGGGCAGGAGACCCTCCCCACCAGCCACCCCAGGCCTGGGAGAAGGTCCAGAGAGCAGAGCCCCTCGGGCAGCAGGGGGTTGGCTTCCTGCTGGGGGGCGCTGGGAGGATGGCCTGGAGGCAGGATGGGTCCAGGATGCTTCGCCTTGGGTCCGCGTCTTGGGGGCAGGTGCAGGCCCTGGGCGCTGGCTGCCAGGGCTGGCGCCGGGGCCCTCTGTTCCGTGGGCCACACTTCTGCCCGGTGCCATGGTGTGGCCTGGACATGAAGCCGGTGGGTGACCAGCGTCCACACTGGTCCACGTGGGCCCACCCAGGTCAGGACACAGGGGACCACAGGCATCTTCGCACTCGCCATCCTGCTCGCAGGCACACGGGCTCACAGATATCCCAGCAGCGCTTGCGCATGCTTCTGGCGCCCCCTCTCCCCCAACCCCGCTCGCGCACCGCCCCATCGCACCTCTCCAGCCCCACAGGCTGGCTTAGGGGCTCACGCAGAGCGCTCTCCTGGGCGCCCCTCGGACAAGCCGAAGCCACAGCGCAGGAAGTCCTAAGAGGTCGAGGGGGGCACCCACGGGTGGGGATGGCCCGGATGGCTCCAGCGACAGGGAGGGGTGGGTGTCACCATCAACCGCAGGGGAGCATGGGGCACAGAGTGGGGTGCGGGCCAGTCTGAGCTGTGTCGTTGATGAGTCCTCCGCCCACTGAGGAACTGAGGAATCACCTTCAGGCGCCTCCCGGGAGGCCCGGCCCTGCAGAAGCCCGGGCCCGGCCGCTGGCTGAGTGCTGACGCGGTGGAGAGCTCCAGGGCACAGCTCCGGGGCACAGCTGGTGCGTACCAACCATCTGGAAGGGCCCCGGGAGGTGGGGTAAGGTGGGGGGGGGGCCTCTTCCCGCTCCCCACCCCCACCCCCGGCCGTGAGGCCCCTCTGTGCGCCCAGACTAGCAAGGACCTCAGGTGGGCAGGACTGCCCAGCTCACAGGTGGGGAAACCGAGGCTGGGGCCGGGGAGGGGGCGTAGGGCAGTGTCTGGGCAGGCCTGGCCTACACAGGCCAAGAGCCTGTGGAACTGGTCTTTCCAGGTGTGTGTGTGTGTGCGTACACGTGTGTATGTGGACTGGAGCCCAGCCAGAAGGCAGGTGGAACAGAGGCCACAGCCTGCGTCATGGGTAGCACCTCAGGGCACCAGCCCAGCGGGGGGGGGGGGGGGGGGCAGGCAGCGTCCACTCCTCTCCTGTTCACGACTCAGAGACACAAGGAGGCCAGATTTGGCCTGGGGCCTGGCTACCGGGCGGGGCCGAGACCCAGCTCTGCCCCCCGGCCCTCGGCCCAAGGGCAGTCTGGCCAGTGCCCTCCAGAGCCCTTGAACTCACACTGAGGGCAGGGCCGGGCTGCATGTGCTGCTCAGATGGGCGGCCCTGCTCCATGTGCCAGGGCCCCAGCCGCCAGGCCAGCTGATGCTGACCCCAACCTGCCTCCCCCAGGGGCTCGGGGCCCAGGCAGGCAGGCAGGTCACCTCTGCTGGGCTCCCCAGTGTCCCGGCAGGTGGGATTGCAGGAGGGCAGACCCTCCGCCGAGGCCCCCTGGCCACTGCTCAGCCCAGCCTGCCTGCTCTCCTGCCCCCACTGTGGGCTCCTTCCCGCGGGCGCTGTGCCCAGCAGTCCTCACCGACTCCAAGACTCGACGACTCGACATCTCTCTGCCCTGGCCACCCCTCCCCACCTCCTTGACCCCAAGTTCTTACACAAGGACTGGCACGGGGCCAGCCTACGAAGATGCCCCAGCCCCTCCTGCCCGGCCTTAGGCTCTGGGTCGCCCACCCAGCTCCCCTGCCTGTCCCCCCTGCCCCTGTCCTGGTGACCCCTAGCCTTGGTTCTCTAGCCTGTGAGCAGGGCAGCATTGCCCAACCTCAGCTGACACTTGGGGCCTGGCCAGCCACTTGCGTCCCCGAACCTCAGTTTCCCCACCTGTAAGTGAGGACCAAGAGGACGACCACATGGCCCGGCTCTGCCCTCAGAGCCCGTGTGGGCAGGTCCTGGCGGGACAGGCTCCCCTGCTCCCCCGCATGACAGGCCTCTGCTTTAGGAAGGGGGCCAGTACCTGGGATCCAGGAGCCGGACCGAAGCCCCCCCAGGCCTGAGCTGCAGGCAGTACGGCAGGCGCTTTGAGGCTTGCCCAGCCTGAGCCGGCCAGGGGGCCCAGGGCGGCACGGGGACCAGCGCGCATCCACGCCTGGAAGTGAAGGGCGGCTGGCAGAGGGGTTCCATGCCACCAGAGGTGGGAGAGGCAGGAGCAGGTCGCACGGGGCTTCGAGGTGCCACCACCTGCCCATGGCCCAGGTGCCTCCCCGCACCTCCCCCCTGCGGTCCTACCAGGGGCAGCTGCTGCTCCCTGAATACCCATCCTGCAGCTGAGAGGACTGAGGCCAGCGGCTCTGCTGCTTCTCCACAGGCAAGAGGGAGCCCTGCAAGGGTTTTCAGTGGGGAGTGGTGTGTTCGCAGAAGCAG